CTCAGTGAGTTCCTCCTTCCTCCACCTTCTGTTCTATTCAGGCCCTCAACACAGTCAGTGATGCTGAGCCTCCTTGGAAAGGGTGGTCTGCTTTATCACCCTCACAAACTGAAATGCTAATCTCACTGGGAAACACTCTCACAGACACATATAGAAACAGTGTTTAATCTGAGCGTTCCAGGGCCAGTCAAGTTGACACATAAAGTTAACCATCACCCTCCCTTCTTCTTTGTCTTTCTTTCCGTCCCATCACTGTGAGGTGTGGTGTGAGAGCTGGAGCTCTAGCTGCCTTCTTGGACTATGAGGACAACAGCCTTGGGATAGGAAAGCAGTAAACTAGAGGGAGGTCAAATCCCTGGAATCTTTGAGGAATAGAGATCCCACAGTATCCCTGGGTTACCTACCCTGCAGATCTTTTCACATGACAGAAATAAACTGCTGTCTTGTGTAAGCACTGCTAATGTGATTACTCTGCTGTATTTGATTAAACCTAATCCTCACTGATACAAAATCTTACCTTGATGTTCACTTGGTTCTTCGTGGGCCTTAGTCAACAGGTCTCTAGCCATTTCCTCTCAGGGGTAAGAGGCCAAACCTTGGTCCTTAGGATAACAAACCCTCCATGTTAAGAACAAGGACAGGTCCAGTGAATGTCTCAAGAACTTAAATTTTCTGGCTGCTTCAGTTGGTTCTGAAGATAACAGTCATGGGCTCTATGAGGTAACATGACTACAGTTTTATTCTTCAGAGAGCATTGCTGATGTAAAATATATACATATCCTTTGCTTAAAGATGTCAATTTGTTTCTGAAAAATGCTGCTAAGGGAAAAAGTTCAAAAGATAGAAAATTTTTTCTATTGATATTATTTTGTCGTTGTTGTTGTTACTTTGACTGTTTAGCTGCTAAGTCATGCCCAACTCTTTTGTGGCCCCATGGACAGCAGTCCACCTGGCTCCTTTGTCCATGGGATTTCCCAGGCAAGAATACTGGAGTGGTTTGCCATTTTCTTCTCCATCTATTCATTTTAATATGAAAAATTAGGATATATTTCACCCTGACCCAGGATACCCTAACGATATTCACAGATAGAAGAATATATTAGTTTAACAGTGAAAGCAATTTTATGCAACAAACAGCAGTTAGAAAGCAAATACATAGACTTTATATGCAAAAGGTAGTATAATGAAGTTTACAGTACTTTCCAAGGGAGGAAGAAAGACTTGATGGTGGTGGGGCTGGGGTGAGAAGGGATTCTTTGGAAAGTGCAGTCTTCTTCCTGCCCTATTCAACAATATTTCAACATTTTGGAGGTTCGTGGTAATCGTGCATTCAAACTGCACTATAAAGTCATATCACAGAAAATATGTCTAGAGCAAAATAAAAATAAATACACCAGCACTTCAAAACAAAACAAAAAGAACAGTGCGTGTGCACAGCCCACTGGAGTCGCAGGAGGTACGGCCTCTTCGCCTGTCTCACTTGGCGGTACATTTCGGATTCACCTGTATGTGTCAGGCAGTTCCTGTCTGTTCCATATGATGCTCTCCAGCTAGATACCGCTGTGCTGAGTTATGAGTTACTCATCACAGTAATAATAAGCTGATGGCAAGTGTCTTTGCCTGAAACCAAAACCTCAAAATAGTACTTCCTGTAGTATACATCTCTGGGGAAAAACATGCTTATTCCAAAAAAAAAATTTTGGAATTTAAAAAAAAAAAAATTTTTTTTTTTTAAATTAAAGGAGTCAGTGTCTGTGAAGTGGTATAACCTTCAAAGCCATAATGGCAGCGAGTTATTACTGACCTGTCATTGCGTGGGGCAAGTGTGTAGCTGAGAAGGGAGAGATCAGGGCGTAGCAGCAATTCAAATTTCTTTACAGGGGCCTCATACTTGGTAACAGGGAGCTGAGTCTTTATGAAGTGTGGTATAGACCCAAAACTGCCGCACCGAGTCTTTTTGCCAGGGTCCAGGGCCTGAAGCCTCTCCTGTTTTCTTTCAGCCAGACATGAGAGATATGAGGTGTGTGTTCCCCCTTCTGGGAGAAAGACCAGGATGATTCCTGTGTAGCTGCTTGCTCACCTCTGTTTTCCTGAAACCTCTTGAGCGCTGGCAGGGTCCATGCTCGCCTCGGTAAGTGCTGCTGGAGCCGACAGGCATGGACTCGGAGTTAAACAAAGTTGGATTCGAATCCTGGCATTTCCTTCTCTGAACATTTTTTAAGTCTTTCTTTGTTCAGCACCTCCCTCTTGCTTCCCCTCCAGACCTTCCTCTGACCTTGCATTCTCCTCATATTGCATCATATCACGTTTTCCCTTCTCTAACTTCACCATGTTATGAGTGTTCAATTTGCCGTCTTATCAGGAAGACTTTTTGTGCTAGAGCTGACCTCCTAGGGTGCTCCTGGAATGTTTCTGCCCCTCTGGCAGTTCACTTACGTCAGGAGACTTGTTCCTCTAGGTTCTGTGCGCGCCCCTGTCTGCCTGCTGAGTGCCCTGCTGCTGACACTCTAGGCAGCCACGTCCTGGCAGTGGGGCAGACGCTGGAGTCCTCCTGTGTGTCTTAGCTTGTGAGACACTGGCCACTGTGAGACCTTTCATAGGCCCCAAGCTGCCGAGGCAAGTAAAACCTGGGGCATTCTCTGCTCTGGGCCAGAAAGATCCCTGGGCTCCCTGGGCTCCTGCAGAGACCCTGCTATGGAAGCCACAGCCCTGCGCCTCTGTGGTCCGGGAATCGCCCAGCCCGATTCTCCTAGACAACCACGGAGTTCCCTCCCTTTCCTGTCCCAACACCCTGACGCTTGTCTCCAGGATCTCCTTGTACAGAGGAGTAAAATTCTCTGCACTACTTCCAACTTTTAGGACCCTAACATAGCCTTAGCATTTCCCACAGCTTGTGAGCCTCAGCAGCTGCTTGTTCTCAGAAAGTAGGGCAGATGGATTGGGATTGGGTTGGGTTGTGAAGCATGGGGTTGAACAAGAAGACCTATTGTGCGACTCCCCAAGTATCTGAAGTTTGCTTGTGTGGCCGCTAGATGTTGCTCTTGTACGTTCGCAATAGCAAGGGGTTTATTTTGCTGGGACAGTAGAAATCAGGAACATGACAGACTAACAAGATAGTGAAATTTTATTCACAAAATGTGCATCCCTGTTTTATACAATTCATTTCTAATAAATACAAAAAACTTAAATATCATTTGAAGTAAACATTTCCTAGCTCTACTGTATGTGCAAAGCTGGGTTCTATTTCTAAATTCTCTTTTTAAGTTTTCCAATATTCTCAGAACTTAATATAACTTGTCATAAAACTGCTTCTATTCACTTACTGCCGTCTTAAATGTCTCATCCATCTTCCGTGTCTGTTGTTCTGGATAGGAACTGTATCTTGCTCTCTTCCACGTGGCACATTACACTGCATTCAGAATACTTCTAACAATATCTCATATTTCTATGATGCTTACTATTTATGAAGAATTTATTTACGGTATCTTATGTATTCCATGTAAAATAAAGTGGTGATGTTTTTATGAAGAAATAAGCTGAAAGCTGTTAAGCAACCTGCCCATGGTCATAAGTAAGAAAGTGCTTCCCGGTTTTATTGTGTTAAACTATGGAGACTCAGGAAGTGCTGTAGACTTTATATCCAGTGTACATTAGTATATTAAAATCTCTGAGAATTCCTGGAGCAAAGAAACCTATCAGACTTTAACCTACCGTCCCAAAGTCTTCAAACATATTTAGCTACTATCTCTTTCTTTATCTGTCTATCTGCCTGTCATCTTTTTTTAGAATGTCTTATTCATTATGTAATAGAATACTACCTTTTCTATTTGGAATTGCTGTAAGTGATGAAGATCAAATTCAAACCCTATACTCCTTCTTCAATTTAATTTACTGCACTGCATCAAGGGAAAAAAGGTCTCAATTTTCTCATAGCTAAAAAGAAATTCATTTAATCACAATAGATTATTTCCACCCATAGGCTATATACGTGGCGAACTTTTGTCTCTTCTGAGCACTTCAGGCAAACTGAATCTAATATACAGGATCCCAAGACGAAATGTCCACTTCCTCCTTGTTCCTCTGACTCTCCCGGTAATTCCAACAGGGGTGACAAAACTGATGCGAGCTCCATCTCACCTCTCTGTACTAATCTGCAGTTTAGACACAACACGGACCACCAGGCTTGCTCTAATGCTCCCTGTCTCCTTGGTCTTAGCATGTGTTTAGTTCGAGGATTTGTTGTCTGGCATCTGTTGAATGTCAGACATGTGGCCAAAACTCCACAGATAAACTCTGAAAAGGTAAACACTCCCTGAAAATAGAGCTTAGGGCAAGAGATCATTCCAGTTAAGTTGACTTGTTGGCTTTTGGATGGCAGCTGTAATGAGTGAAGTCCTCTCCTCCGTGGGGGTGAGAACCAGAGAAGACTTCTCCATCATCTGCTGAAGCATTTCTGACTCACCAGGTTCCTCACACCAGCCTTCACATCCTTGTTCCTGAGGCTGTAGATGATGGGGTTGAGCATGGAGGTCACCACCCCGTAGAAGAGGGGGATGAGCTTGTCTGAAAGGTCCTCTTTGTCTGCACCCTGAGAGTCCTTAGACTTGGGCTTTCCATACATGAAAAATAAGGTCCCATAGAATATTATCACCACAGTGAGGTGAGCAGAGCAGGTGGAGAAGGCCTTTTTCCTCCCCTCAGCTGAAGGGATCCTCAGGATGGTAGCAATGATGAACACATAGGAGACAGAGATGAACAGAACCGGGACACCCAGGAAGATCACATTGGTCACCCCCATACTGATCACATTGATGGAGATGTCAGCACAGGCCAACTTCAGGACAGCCAGGATCTCACAGGTGAAGTGGTTGATGACATTGGCCCCACAGAAGGGCAGCTGAATTGCCAAGGATGTGTGAACCAGAGAAGCAACACCACCAAGAGCCCAGGAGCCAGCAGCCATGGGCACATAGACAGCCTTGCTCATGACCACGGGGTACCTCAGGGGGTTGCAGATGGCCACGTAGCGATCAAACGCCATCATGCCCAGGAGCACACACTCTGTTCCCGCCATGGAGAAGGAGAGGAACATCTGTATGGCACAGGCTGAGAAGGAGATGGTCTTCTGGGGGGTCAGGAAGCCATCCAGGACCAGAGGGACTGAGGAGGTTGTGTAGCAGATGTCCAGGAAGGAGAGGTTCCCCAGGAAGAAGTACATGGGCGTGTGCAGGCGGGAGTCAAGGATGGTCACCACGATGAGGACCCCGTTGCCCAGCAGGATCACCAGGTACGTGAGCAGGATGAGCACAAAGAACATTTTCTCCAGCTTTGGGTGGGCTGAGAGGCCCAGGAGAATGAATTCCACCAGCAGGGAGGTCTGATTAGGTTTTTCCATGTGATATTCCCTCTGTCATCAGCACATTACAAAAGTATCACATCAGGTTTTCCTGGAAAGAGCCCCAGCTATCTGGTATGAGGCCACTCCTGCTGCGTAATAGAAGAGCATATGTGGGTTAGAGAAAACAGCTGAAAGAGACAGCAGGTCTGGGCTTCCCTGGTGGTCCGGTGGATAGGAAACCACCTGCCAATGCAGAAGACATGGGTTCTATCCCTGATCCAGGAAGATCCCACATGCCTCAGGGCAAGGCTATGTGTGCTACAGCTACTGAGCCTGGCCATAACTACTGAGCCCATGTGCCACAACCGCTGAAGCCCGCACCCCCAGAACCCATGATCTGTAGCAAGAGAAGCCACCCCATTGAGAAGCCTGGTCTTCGCAGCTAGAGAGCAGCCTCTGCTTGCTGTAGCTAGAGAAAGGCCCTTGCAACAATGAAGACCCCGCACAGCCAAAAATAAATAAACAAATAGAATTTTATATACATTTAAAAAAGAGTCAGCAGGGTGTCCTCAGCTCTAAGGTGAGAGAAGGTCAGAGCTGGAGCAGAGCTTAAAATGGGTCAGCCCTGGGCAAGGGCCTCAAGCAGTCTAGCTGTGTGAGGGATTTTCCCTAAGTTGCTGCATCCTCTCATTGCCCATAAAAGCAACTGACGTCTCAAAAGGGAAGTGACCTGTCTGAGATTTCTAAGTTGGTGACAGAGACAGGACTTGAGGAGACAGAGGTGACAGAGACAGGATCCAGTGGAGCGGATCCCCAGTCAAGGAAAGCCTTTCCTCAGCATCATGATTAATGACTGGTGGCTCAGTGGAGAAGAATCTGTCTACCAACGCAGGAGACTCGGGTTCATTCCCTGGGTCAGGAAGATCCCCTGGAGAAGGAAACGGCAACACATTCCAGTATTCTTGCCTGGAAAATCCCATGGACATAGGAGCCTGGCAGGCTACAGTCCATGCAGTCGCAAAAGAGTCGGACATGATTTAGCAACTAAACAACAACAAGTAATTAACAGCGGGAAAATCCTATGAATGATTTCTCTTTAATGGAAATGTATACTCTTTGCATTTAATCTGAGTTTTCTGAGTTTCCCAGGCCAATCCAGTTCTTAGAACCAGCAAATTTTAAAGCTTCTTTAAATTTTGATTACATCTGGAAGAAACTTGTATAAAATGTCAATTCACCTCCACACAGAAACAAGCCTGGGTAAGAATTCAATGATACTGAGGATGACTTCTCCAGTCTGCCACCATCAATGACACAGACTTGACCATCATCAGCATTGGGATTGCCCTATTTTAATACAAACTGATAACAGTATATGGGGAGGTACCTATATGGGGAGGAACTTTATACAGTCAGCACAAAGACTGATGGAAATGATTAAAATTGGAATGATTAAACCCACACTAGGGGCTGACAACTCTGCAGCTTACTGACCTGTGAACTCAATGATTAGTAGCTATATGAACTACACTTATCAGATGGTAGGCTATATAGCATTAACCTCCAACCCCATTTCACTAGAATATTGGTGAACTTCTTAGCCAGAGATAACTCAGAAATACTTTTTTCTTTGTCCTTTTATGCTCACATTATATTCTTGTGTGAAACCCACCCTTGGGTTCCATACAAGCAACTAGCTTATGGGGAGACCTATATGCCTTTGTATAGAGGATTTCGAATCTCTTAGCTGCCATTGCTCAGATTCTAAATGCAGAATTCTCACTGATAATATTTCTCAAGGGATTCCTCTTTGTCCCTCTTCAGTATTAACACATTTTCTATTAATACAATGGGTACAGATCACTTGGTATTCAGGGTGGGGGAAAAGTCTTAGTAATCATGAAAGGAAAGTGAGAAAAACAGAAATAACTAGCCTTTGATAGATTGGGAAACCAGAGAGACCAGGCTTGGGTCCACTCGCCCTCAGACGCTGAGGAAGGCCCCTTCCTCCCAGAAGCCTCTGCAGGAGGGGGATGATGGGAATCCCACACACTCCCCGGGTTCCTGTGAGGAGGAGCAGCAAGGGCAGACGGGCTGGGAGAGCGTGAGGCTGCCTGACCTGGAGCTTATTCTCAGCTGTTCCCCCTGCTCCAGCAGCTGTGGGAAGTTTTCTGGGGGCAGAGGCAGAGGAGAGGAAAGTGTGTCTTTGAAAAGTGCTCTGCGGAAGGCAGACATGGGCCTCTTCCCACCCCGGCCCAACTCTCCCCACCTGCGTCCTGTTTGCGGTGCTTCTCTGAGGCTCCCGATCTCAGATTCTTAACTTCTCACCGCACACCAGGACCAGACCCTGGATGCCAGAGAAAAACCCAGACTGCCCCGACTGAGTTTCTTTACCTCTGAGACTCTCTTTCTTCTTGTCCGCCTGAATCTTCGGGGGAACTTTAGCCTCTGGTGGGTGTTTCTCTCCCACCCTTCCTCACGGCTGTGTCCTGGGTATCTCAGTGACAGAACCTTCATGTACGGGACCTGTTATCCTGGTCTGCGCCTGAGGAATCCCACAGGCTCGTTTTCCCCAGCAGTGAAGGGAGTCCTCAAGCTGCAGCTGTAGACTCCTACAGGGACCCTGCTAGTCCCAGAAGCAATTTAAACTTTGGAATGTTGAGTGTTCATAGGACACTGGGGCTCAGCATCCTGGGGACTCCAGGGACCACATCCCTGCCATCAGTTGCAATCAGAGGCAGTGACTGGGACATGGCTAACTGGAAATGGAGAGGCAGGCACAGAAATGCCAGCTTCCTTCTGAGCCTTCCCTGGGGTCCCGGAGAAGCCAGTGTCCTGCCTCACTGGCTAAGGCTGAAAGTTTTTTTTTTTTTCAACTACTTGTCGATTTATTTATTTGTTTGGCTGTGCCAGGTCTTAGCTGCAGCCTGCAGGATCTTCAGTCTCCACAGTGGCATGCAGGATCTTTTAATTGCAGTATGTGGGATCTAGTTCCCTGAGCAGGGTACGAACCTGGACCCTCTGCATTGGGGGAGCAGAGTCTTAGCCACTGGACTAGAAGGGAAGTCCCTGAAAGTTTTGGGGGTTTTTTTAAACCATGAATTACTGTTGTTTTTTCAAAAGCTTCTTCTGTTTCATTTGATATAATCATGTGATTTTTCCTAATTAGCCTGTTAATATGGTGGCCAGAATGCATTGACTTATCTTTGAATATTGAACCAGCCTTTCATTGCTGGGAGGAGGGGATCCTCCTTACCGATGGGCAAGGAGTGGGAATTTCAGCTCCCCGCTAAGGCTCTGCTGATCCCTTTCTGGCTGGCAGTGGCAGGAGTGCCTAGCGTTGCCCCATGCCCTCCACTGACACCATGGGAAGGGGTGGTCTCAGTGGCACAGGCACAAGCCCTGACCCTCCCGTAGGCCCCTTCTGGTACCATCCAAACAGGAAGAAGAAGGAGCTTCCCACGTGATCTCTACTGACTGTGCTGGTGGGGAGGACCTGTTACCGCCCAGCATCCCATCTTCCTCTTCAGCCTCCTCTGATACCACATTGGCAGGGGAGTGGTTGGATTGCCTTGTCAGAGCTTGGAGAATAGAAGTCTAGGCTGTCATCTGCTCAGCCTTTGCTGGTGGGGTGAAACTGGGGCCATTGTTTTTTTTTTCTGAGGTGTTTGGCTGGAGTAGAGTGCTTATTGTCAGGAATTAAATTTTATCAAGTACTTTTCCTACATCTATTGAGATGTGATCATTTGGGTTTTCTTCTTTAGTTTGTTGATGTCATAAATTTTTAATGTTCACCCTATCCATGCTTTTTTGGGGGGATGAATGCAACTTGCTCACAGAGTATTATCCTCTAAATGCATTACTATCTTTGTTTTACTGATTTTCGTAATTTGGCTTTTTGGCATCAATGTTCATGGAGACTTACAGGCCTGAAAAGAGTTTAGTTCTTTTGCTTTATTTAAAAAAGAGCCTGGGATTTGACTAAGACTCCCATCCAAGTACTAACCAGGCCCAACCTTGTTTAGCTTCTGAGATCGGATGAGATTGGGTGGTACAGCCATAGATTTAATCAAGACTGGTTTGCAGTTTCTTGTATCTCAGTTGGAAGTGATCTCCTGTGTAATATAAACATAACATTGCAGTTGGAGTGTGCAGTAGTCAGCAAGAGAACGTGACTATGTGAAGATACTTTTCCTTTGGGCTTTGTAATTGTCAAGACTTTGTAAGTTTCTAGATAGAAAACTTATTCCAACCAACATAATACCAATACAAACTTTAATGCTCATAAAACTGAGAAGTTCAAAGGTGGATTCAGTCTCAGGCATAGTTGGAATTAGGGACTCCACATGTCTTTAGGACTCTCTGTCCTTTCATCTGGTTCTTATCTCTACTTGTGTTTTCCTGGCTTCATTTTAAACAGACTTACTCACATGCTAGAGAAGAGAGCTGTCAGCAGCCTAATCCACATTCTTCTGTTTTAGTCTCCAGATGAGAACAGAGCCCTGGCCAACACGTTCGACTGTAGCTTTGCAGAGGACTTGCTTGAACTCCTAACTCACAGAAATGGCAAGATTATAAATGGGTGTTGTCTAAAGCCACTAAGTAGTGATCTGCAATGCAGCACAGAAAGCCAATATGAACCCCTTTTCTTCTTGCTCCAATTGAAATATGCTGCGGAATGGTTTTGATTAGTTTGACCAAGGTCACATGCTTTCACTCAGACTGATTGCTGTGGCCAAGGCGGGGTGTACTACAGTTGGCAGTCCCCTGGAATCACATGATGAGAGAGAGGGAGCAGTTCCCTCCACAAACAATAGATGCACAGTACAGATGTAAGTGACCTCTGTGAGGGCATCCTTAGAAACTCCAGCAATGCTGTGACTGATATGTGCCTTTTAGCAGAGGTCACAAATTGCAACCCATAGCCAAAAGTGGCTGAGGAACAAATTTTGTTTGATCTTAGAATTCTTACACTGTGGTAGAATTCTGGGAAGCACTCAGCTCTGCAAGCACCAGAGGGGAACGTGGAGACTACAGCAGGGGGAGCAGCTCTTTGCATTCCCTCCCCTTCCCCTTCCAGCATTCCTGCCTGGCAGAGGTTGGCTGGAGCTTAGCAGGAAGAGGCAGTTAGCTCCTGCTTCCCGACCTGGTCCTTCCTCTTAGTTACAGTCCCTGTCCGGCATCTGGAATGCCGGCATCTGAAACTGTTTGAGTGATTATGTTATTGGCATGTTGCCTGTGATCATCTTTGTTGTTTGATTTGGTCATATTTTGTGATAACCTTCATTGGATACTCAATTGTCTTGAAGATTTTAGGGATTGTCCTAAATTGAGAGAAATGGTTACCAGTAGTAATCAGGTATGTAATCAGCCATGAAATTAAAGGATGATTTCTCCTTGGAAGGAAAGCTATGACAAACCTAGATAGCATATTAAAAAGCGGAGACATCACTTTACTGACAAAGGTCTGTATGGTCAAAGTTATGGTTTTTCCAGTATCATGTACAGATGTGAGTTGGACCATAAAGAAGGCTGAGCACTGAAGAATTGATGCTTTCGAATCGTGATGCTGGAGAAGACTCTCAAGAGTCCCTTGATCTGCAAGGAGATCAAACCAGTCAATCCTAAAGGAAATTCATTGGAAGGATTGATGCTGAAGTCCAATAGTTTGGCCACAAGATGTAAAGAGCTGACACATTGGAAAAGACCCTGATGCTGGGAAAGACTGAAGGCAAAAGGAGAAGGGGTGGCCAAGGATGAGATGGTTAGATAGCATCACTGACTCAATGGACATGAATTTGAGCAAACTGCAGGAAATTGTGGAGGACAGAAGAGCCTGGTGTGCTAAAGTCCATGAGATTGCAAAGTCAGACATGACTTAGTGACCGAACAACAACAACAAAGTAATCAGGTAGAAATTAATCTGCACATCTAGTGGTCTGGTCTAAACTCTTTGGTTATCTCCAAAACCAGGGCTGGAGTAAAAGCTGGTTTTTGTTTCTTCTTTTTTTTTTTTTCAATTTGTTTTAAATTGGAGGATAACTGCTTCACAGTGTTGAGCTGGTTTCTGCCATACAATGAGAATCTGTCATGAAGATACATCTATCCCCTCCGTCTTGAGCCTCCCTCCCACCCCCCCGCATCCCACCCTTCTAGGTCGTCACCGATCACTGAGCTGAGCTCCCCGCACTGTTTGGCAGTTTCCCGGTAGCTGTCTGTTTTCACATGGTACCATATTTATGTCAGTACTACTCTTTCAACCCACCCTACCGTTTCCTTCGCCCCGCTGGCCGTTCATTCTTCTGAGAACCTCTGATGAGTGAGCCTTTCTGTTTGCTTCCAAGCCCAGGGCTTGGACCTTTTCCCAACAAATAGAATGGACCTGCTCTCAGGATGGGAAAGTGGATGTAGCATGGGTCATCCCAGCCTGTTAGAAACAGTTTTGGCTTTGAATGAGGGCACTTGGAGGATACTCCGGACTGTCCTGAAGCTTACAGTCAGGGCTTTTCCTCCCTCCAAAATGAAAACATATTTTAAAAAGTTCTTCTGTTAATTCATGACCATTGTAAATGTCTGATATACTCGAATTCTTTATGTATTTTTCCTAGGTATTTTAAAGTTGTTGTGACTGGTGTAAATTATATACAATCACTTTAGTTTAGCACTTGATTACTATTTGTTCTCAGTAAACAACAATAGTTTACTTACTAAATAGTATTCTTCTTTTCATTCCTCATTTATTTTTCTGATCTGGTTTAATTAGCTAGACTCTGCAGAATGATGCAGATATTGAGAGATGTTCTAAGCCAGGTTGTAAGCATGTTACTAATGTTTTGCCATAAAGTGCACCCTTTGCTGTTGTTCTGATCATTTCATTCATGTCAAGGATGGATTCCTCTATTCAAATTTACTACTTTAAGAGAGTCAGAAATGGATGCTAAGTTTTACCAAATTATTTCTCAACATTTGTGGGTGAGATTACTTTTCCTTTTTTAATCTGTTAATAAAATGGTTGCAGTAATTGACCTAATGTTCAAAACCTTGCAGTTCCTTAAAAAAAAAAAAAAAAAGATTGATAACTCTAGGGAATTCCTCACCAGTCAAGAAGGTGATTCATATGTGTCTCCTCCTTCATTTCTGGGCGCCACCGCCTCTCCCTCTGAATACTGATCTTGTGGCTTTGGGGATTCTTAGGTACAAAGGCAAGTGATGGTCACCTTTTGGCTGCACACTTGGTCAAGCCAGGTCAGGTAGTTAATAGAGTTTATTTTATTACCCTCCACATTTTTCAGTTTCCACAATCCTCTGATGACCCATGGGAAGCCAATGTTATCTAGGGAAAGAACCCAGGGGTGAATAACATTTTCAGAAAAGGAAATAAAAAAGAAAAAGGCCTGAACCTTTGACCTTTATATTAGTTTGCCACACCTTGTTTTTCTCTCTTCTCCAAGGATGTAAATGATTTTCTAATTGGGCCCTTGGTTAAGGGCAAGGGAAAGAGGCTAATTATGGAGACATAGGAAGAGAATGATTCAGGAAACAGTTTTAAGAATTAAAATGACAATAAAAATAAAGCACAATGAAGATAAAGATAAAAATATTACTGTTATTTGATATGGAGTAGGAAAAGTTGACAGGTGACCATAAAAGTATGGACCCATTCAAATACGCTGAGTGAGCTAAGGAGTGACTGAATTATAGACTATAGCTCTACTCTGTAGAGCTTTTATGAATTAGAAAATAAAACTTGAAGAGTTACTCTTCTTTGACATCAGTTTGTTTTGTATGCATGGAAGATATAGAGAAGTAAAAGGCTAGATCAGCAAGAATATACTTTTGTATAAATGCCTATAGATTGATGGGAAAATTCACACTGACTGCTTTCTATTCACACAGAGTTCTTGGGTATAATGAGGTTCTGTGCAACTAAATTTACCTATGGAAACTTTCATGAACTTATCCCTTCATCTTATGCTCTTGAGACCCTCAGGTGAGAGAAACCAGGGAGCAGGAACCATCAGGACCCCTCCACCATCACCAGGTGAAGCGTTTCTCAGTCACTAGGTTCCCCACAGCAGCCTTCACATCCTTATTCCTCAGGCTGTAGATGATGGGGTTGAGCATAGGGGTCACCACCCCATAGAAGAGGGAGATGAGCTTGTCTGCAAGGTTCTGTTTGTCTGCCCCCAGGGGGTCCTTGGATTTGGGCTTCCCATACATGAAGAGGATGGTCCCGTAGAAGATGAACACCACTGTGAGGTGGGCAGAGCATGTGGAGAAGGCCTTTTTCCTCCCCTCAGCTGAGGGGGTCTTCAAAATGGTAGCAATAATGAACACATAGGAGAAAAAGATGAACAGAACTGGAATGCCCAGGAGGATCACATTGGCCATCGCCATACTGATTATATTGATGGAGATGTCAGCACAGGCCAACTTGAGGACAGCCAGGATCTCACAGGTGAAGTGGTTAATGACGTTGTTCCCACAGAAGGGCAGCTGAATTGCTAGGGATGTCTGCACAACGACACTGGTGCTTCCAGCTGCCCAGGAGCCAGCAGCCATGGGCACATAGACAGGCTTGCTCATGACCTCAGGGTACCTTAGAGGGTTGCAGATGGCCACGTAGCGATCAAACGCCATCATGCCCAGGAGCACACACTCTGTTCCCGCCATGGAGAAGGAGAGGAACATCTGTATGGCACAGGCTGAGAAGGAGATGGTCTTCTGGGGGGTCAGGAAGCCATCCAGGACCAGAGGGACTGAGGAGGTTGTGTAGCAGATGTCCAGGAAGGAGAGGTTCCCCAGGAAGAAGTACATGGGCGTGTGCAGGCGGGAGTCAAGGATGGTCACCACAATGAGGACCCCGTTGCCCAGCAGGATCACCAGGTACGTGAGCAGGATGAGCACAAAGAACATTTTCTCCAGCTTTGGGTGGGCTGAGAGGCCCAGGAGAATGAACCCCACCAGGGGGGAGGTCTGATTGGACCTGTCCATAGTGCCTCTGCTCTTTCACTTGTTTGAACTCAAAAAGCCAACTTCATGATTCTCTGATACCTAAAAAGGCCAGGAAACCAGTGAGGAAACTTGCCCTGCTGAGCACTTAGGGAACTCTTCTGGCAATCTGGGTAGTTCTTTGTGTTGTTCTAAGTAAAATGGAGAGAAATTTTTCAAAATCTAGTTTATGACGTTTGGCTGCCCATGAAAGTGTTACCAGATTGGACTGAATTTTTGTAATCATGTTCAAGGTTGATATCACACATTTACTTCAACTTATACCGTGTATGGCCAATTTATTTTAATCAATTTTTTGAGAAGTGTTACATTCCCTTTGTATGATTCCACCTGCTTTGGGGTATAGAACTGGTGGAAATAACTCATCTCCTTTGTGCTTAATTCCTGACCATTCCCCTCCAAGGATTTTTGGATGTTACCTTTCTCCTCTTTCACAGTTCCCTCTCTTACAGCCCCCAAGCCCCTGGGATATTCATTCCTTTATTCCTTCACTCACCTTCCAAATCTCCTCAGAAGCATTTACTCGAAGAGCTGGCCTTTGCCAATCACTCATGGCCTGGCAACCGTTAAGTCCCTTTTCCTCTCTGGCCATCGGCTCCCTCATACTAACTCGGGAATGGATTGTTTTGAAAGGTATTCCATCCCAGGGACTAAATGACCTCTTGAATTTCTTGCTCTTGAACTTTCTGTCACACACTAAGATGTCCTTTTACTTCCAATTCCCCACATGCCACTTAGTCACAAGACATAAAGTCAGAAATGATGCTGGGTCCACCACAGTTAATGTATATAGTATTGTGTGTGTATATATGTATATATATATATAGTGTGTGTGTGTATATATATATATAGTGTGTATATATATATATAGTGTGTATATGTGTGTATATACACACACACACACACACACACACACACACATATGGTGTTCTCTTACCTTTTTTGTAAATAGGTCGATAAAGAAAATCACTCTTCTTCTGTTTGAGGATAGTCCAGAAGCCTAAAATGGCCAATCGAGTCTGAAAGTAGCAGGCAGAGGCGTTAGCCCCTGAGATGGATGAAAGTTTTCTTGACTTTGCTCTGTTTCAGAAAAATTACACAAAGGACTGTCCATTGCATACATGAAGCCATTTAAATCCCACTCTGCTACTGGGATTACGCTAGTCCCTGAAGTGATTTAAAGTTTAGAAGTTGAAGTGACAAAATCTGGAAACTCTATACATCTGAGATTATGTCCCCGAGATCCAATTATTCTGAAGTCCCTCCAGAAGCACTTCCTTTCCCCCTCCCTCTCTTTGTATCCGTCCTGCTGAGCGGTTAGAAAGCATTAGAGAAGAGGGTCATTCCGGTCCTGCCAGAGTTAACCTGACGCCCCAGTCAGTCAGTGAGAACTCAGCAGAGCCCACAATAGAGCTAGGAGGATGTGAAACCCACAGGACAAACCCTTTAGCACCCCTGGCTTTTCCAAATTTAGTATTTCAGGACTGGAGAAAAACAAGTGACCTAGAATGTTCCTTCTTGTCTGTGTCCCACCAAATAATTTCAGGGTGCCTACAATAGGCCAGGCCTTCACAGAGCACTGGGGGGTCATAAATGCATCTGGTTTCACAGGTAGCACGGGAGCTCTGGACACAAAAATGGCCAGTTGAGACTCATGGCTTCAGTTTTCAGTGAAGGTGAACGTCACATCTCTATAGTCACTGTATAGTCCATGGAATTCTCCAGGCCAGAATACTGGAGTGGGTAGCCTTTCCCTTCTCCAGGGTATCTTCCTGACTCAGGAATCGAACCGGGGTCTCTTGCATTGCAGGCGGATTCTTTACCAACTGAGCCATGAGGGAAGGAAATGGCAACCCACTCCAGTACTCTCGCCTGGAAAATCCCATGGACAGAGGAGCCTGGTAGGCTACAGTCCATGGGGTCGCAAAGAGTCGGACACGACTGAGTGACTTCACTTCAGTTTTCAGAGAAGCCTACTGATCTGCTACACCTAAAAACTTATTGGGCAAGAGCTGTATTTCACTGTGGTCATGTATGGATGTGAGAGTTGGACGGTGAAGAAAGCTGAGCGCTGAAGAATTGATGCTTTTAAACTGTGTTGTTGGAGAAGACTCTTGAGAGTCCCTTGGACTGCAAGAAGACCCAACCAGTCCATCCTAAAGGAGATCAGTCCTGGGTGTTCATTGGAAGGACTCATGTTGAAGCTGAAACTCCAATACTTTGGCCACCTCACGCAAAGAGTTGACTCACTGCAAAAGACCCTAATGTTGGGAAGGATTGGGGGCAGGAGGAGAAGGGGACGACAGAGGATGAGATGGTTGGATGGCATCACTGACTCAATGGACATGGGTTTGGGTGAACTCCGGGAGTTGGTGAAGGACAGGGAGGCCTGGCGTGCTGCGATTCATGGGGTCGCAGAGAGTCAGACACGACTGAGCGACTGAACTGAAGATAACACACGGTGACTTTCTTTCTGGAATAAAGAACGCTTACAAAAGAAGGGAGTGTTAGGGAGTGAGTGCTTTCTCAGAGAAGCAAACACCAGCTGCAATGTACAGCTCTGGTTAGAAATAATCATTTTCAAAGTGTAATTAAGTGAAAAACAGAAACATTTCCGAGAAAATGGCTGAGTGGGCTTAAAAGAATAAGACCTAGCATATTAGAAGCAGCCTTTATCAATTTCTGCTATAATAGTATCTCCTGGACTTATTCTGGGTTATTCTTACTCTTTTCATTAGTAATGGCTCCCCTCTCACCCATGGATTGCCTTTAGGAGCTCCTCAGAGCCTAACCCCAAAGACCTTCCTGCACCAGGAAGTCTACCCAAAAAAGGGTAGAGTACCTTCTCCCGGGGCAGCCCCACTGGCCTGCTGGGTGAGACTCGAGGCAACAGCTTCTTCCACTGCAGTGCAAAGACACCCTTCCATGATGGCGGTCCCTAAGAAGCAATGACACTTGAGTGCAGTCATATTAGAAGCCCAGCAAATCTGCAAAGGGTAAAGGAACTCTAGTGGACTCTGCATGAAAGCGGTCTGTTGACTGGGGAACATGGCTTCCCAAGTGCTCTTGAGCATGAGCCTTCGCCTTACCCTGCCTCTCCACTAAATACCAGAGTGTTAGAGGTTGGAACTCGGAAGCAAAGGAGTTGTCAGGGGTTACAGGTTAGCGCCGGTCAGGGGTGATTTTGAAAGGGTTTGGTTGGCTACTCTGAGCTGAGTGATGGGGGGAATCTACCTTGGTGACGGGGCTACTGTGGATTCAATGATGGGATTTTTTACAACAGATGCCCCGCGAATTATTAGTCAACCCCTCCTTTTCTAACTTAAGCCTTAAGGCTAAACATTTCCATCTAAGACCCACAAGATATGTTGTATTGTATTATCATTATTGTTCATTAATAAGTATTTTAAAAGTTCAGTTATGATTGTTTTTTTCATTTCACCTGTGTAAGCACTTTGAAGCACTTTTCTACTTTGCAATAAAATGTGAATCCTTTTTAAAAAATTGATTTCTAACCTAAAAAAAAAAAAAAGGCCAGTTGATTGCAGAAATGATGTCCTTTTCTTTGAAATCTTTCTTTGGTGCATGTGACTTATCCTCTCCAGAGAATAAATTTTTGTTAAGGTAGGTAAGGGACAGTCAACCAATGTCACAGAATGAGGGAGGCGGTCTGGGACCTGTGTTTCTTAGAGGTTTTTTGCCCAGTCCTCCTTATTTCAGCAGCATCCCTCTTTATCCTTGGTCCCAGAGGGACTTGGTACAGCAGGTCCTCTGTGCTGTAGGTCTGGTTGTGGCTCAGCTCTCCTAGTTTCTGGCTTAGGATTTGGCTCTATCAGATCAGCTACGGAAATGGCCACTAGACCATTCACTTTCCAGTGTTCAAAATGTCTTCACTCTGATATCTCCCTTCTTCTCCTTAACCTTGTGGATTTTGTCATTAAAAACAAAATTAAGCAAAACAAAAACATATTATGGTAGTTTTTTCAGGTTTCACAAAGGAGCAAAATTAGATGCCTGTGTTCAGTCCCCCTTTATGCCTCAGTCCTGATTCCACGCAGTTTCTAACACCCTCAATTATTTTTTTTATATTTGTTAGTCATTGTTTCTTGTCTGTTTCTCTCCTGCTAGAATGTCAGTTTCACAGAGGCAGAGGTGTTTTTTCCTGCATTGTTCACAGATGTATCCTAGATGTATGAAAAATGTACCAGGCTCACAGTAGGCATTCAATGAACAGTTGCTAAATGAATTAATAAGTGAATTTGTGACCTAGTTTTGTTTTCTTTTTTGCCCCATGTTAACTCTTATTTTTTATATTTTCTTTATCTCTTTCCACCTTTTTAATTTCTATTTTTGTAAACATTTTATAATGTGCATCATAACATATTGATATAGGACATCTATATATTTATAAATGAATAAACAAACATGCAGTGTAAATTGTTAGAAAGCATGATTTTAATACCCTGGAGACCACTGACCGTAGAGACCAAGCTTCTGGCTGTGGTTTCACCCTTTCAAACATTCAACAAACCTCTCTTAAACTTTGGAAACCTCTATCTTGAGCAGAGCAGCATTGCAGAATTCAGGCCTTTTCGCCCTCATTCAGAGAAGACCTGCTAGCTTCCTTCTTGTCTGCAGCATATGCCTTTTTTGATCAGAGACCACCCATGGAGAACAGGGACTGGTGACTGCTCACCAAGGTTTTGGAAGGTCAGCCCTGAGCTTTAAGATGCCTTTGGAGTCCTTCTTTCCCTCTCCTCCCTCTCTGGGTTTCTCCCTGAACTGTTCCCCAGCACTTTGCCCCCCAGTTACTCTACGCATGAGCTTGGGTCTCCTCGGGAAAGCTCGGGAGCATGAGAAAAGAAGGGCACACGCCAGTGCCTCCGTTGTTCCAGCTGGCCCAAGTACTGCCAGGCACATGGGAATAGAAATATATATCAAAGGGACAGCTTGACTCATTTCTGCTCGTTACAGAAGCTGTCCGTGGTAGCTTGTAACATCTTACTACGTTGATGTAACTTTAAGTCCTCTCCATCCTTTTCCAGAATGAGGATATATACTTAGGGGAAGAAGTCAGTGAGGTTAAGTAAAAATTCTGTAGATCTTAATTTGAATTGTACATATGTATTCCACTGAAAAGGCCTAGAAACTATTGACATCTCAATAGCACCCCTAGCACCCAGATTGTGGTTTTTTAATACCAAAGGAAACAAGAGCTCTTTAGAAAAAATGCTTGTTTCCAGGTCTGGAGAGGAACTGTCCATGTTGAGCCTGGAACAACTTGACATAATCAGAAAGCAACAAACCATCAAAGATACTTGGGCCCTGTCAAAAGATCTCAGGAGCCCATGGGCTCATCACTACACTGAAACAAAAACCTCTCAAGTATGTAGATCTGATCATCAATTAATAGGAAACACAGGGACAGATACTACAGGACTATAATCAGCAAACTATAAACTAAGGTTCTGTGACGTTGTGATTTATACAAAATATATATTTGTTCATTCAGATGACCAAGATATTTTTATCACATATATTCAGACTTTGTCCATAGCTTCTGGCTCACAACTGCCAAGCCCTTCACAGCTCTTAAAACCCTTGGGATTTCCTTAGTGATAAGAGCGATGGGGGCAACTTCCATCGTAGTGTTTGGTCTTTAATCCTGTTTCTGAAAAACACTTTAGAGCCATAAAGTGAAGGGGTTATCTTGTTATTCTTAACAAGCCCACTTCAGCCACAACTGGGTTTATGTTAACAAGGTGACTTTCGGAAAGCTCCTAAGATTGAAGTTGATTGCCAGGGGAACCAACTCTGAGTAGAGGGTTGAACTCTCAGTCTTAACCCCTGATTTCCAGGGAGGGGAGGGCAGCTGGAGGTCACATTGATCACTAGTAGCTGGTGATCTAATCAATCATGCCATTAAAAAAAACCAATTTTTTTTGTATACAAACTCTATTATTTTCTATGTGTTTTATGGCAAGAAAAAGATTGGGAAACATTAAACTAGAGAGATGGACAGGGGACGGGGGGCCGATGGGAAGATTTCAGAGAAGTTACATACAGTATAAAACAAACTTCAAGGTTACAACCATGATAAAGAGAGGAACTATAATCTAACCAAGGTCTGGTTCCAAAGTTTCTGATGCTATCACAATACGGTGCCACCTCATCCACCTACTATTCTCCATGATTTTGCTAAGTATCACCAGTGCCCAGGATTCTAAAAAGATAACACATATTACTTGAGCATTGGACTTTGCATGATGTCACGGTTTGGTTTTGCCCAGAAGCAAACTCTGAGACAGAGATTGGCGTGCAAAAGGTTTATTAGGGAGAGCTCTTGGGTTCAATACTGGTGGAAGGGAGGATGAGGATGAAGGATTGGTCAGAGGGGGATGACAGGCTGTGGTGAAGTCTCAACAAAGGCCTCAGTCAACCCCATAGCAGACCCTGGTACTGGATGGCTGTTCAGAGATGTCTCTAGTAGGAAGAGGCATTTATATCCCTTCACCAATCAGTCACTGGATATGGGCTGCCTTGGGGAAGGGAGTATGACCTTGGGTGAGTCAGGTCTCTTCAGCTAAGAGCCCTCTTATCGAATTTCCAAAGATGAGTGACAGCTGAAGGCTGTCTGCCAGCAGCTTTTTCAGTAACTGGAGGAACAACTCCTTGGGTCCTTTAGAAAGATGTGGGTGGGAACTGGGCATAGATCTCCAAGCCAGAAACCAGTGAAATGAAGTATGTTGAAAAGGAAGATTGTTCTGCAAGTACCTTTCATTTTTAAGTAAACTCTGGATTATAAAGGTCAGTACTGATCTCAAGTTGATGTCCTCCTCCCTTTAGTGAGCTGAGATGGGCATGGGTGGACTCTGTGCTCAGTAGGGAAAGGCACATCCCTCAGGGTGGGACAGATAATACTGGGTATGAAAGGGTGAAACGGGAACACGCCCTGAGCTCCCACAGCCCGGAGACTGTTGAAGGGACCACAGAGCGGTGACTGCGTCCCGGTTTCTGCCCTCAGTGAGCAGGAAAGCGCTGTGGGACCTGCAAGAGTATGGCTGGCCAGTTCTCAGGCGGGAGGAGCCCAGGAGCCCAGGCAAGGCAGGCTGAGAGCATGTGTTTTCATCGCAAAGTTTTGATTCTCAGGGAAAATGGGCCTCTGATCGCCTGGAGGAAAATGAGGCCATTTCCTTCCCTACGTGTTTTGTCCCCTTCTGTGTCACTGCCGAATGAGACCCTCACACTTTCTACCTCTGGACCGCTTGTCGGTACATGTGAACGGGCCCCACCTTTCAGTTTTATCATCTGGTCGTCAGCCCAGCCGCCTTGCTCCATCTTTTACTGGTCACATCTGAGCATCTTGACTCTAGCATCCCTCAAATCATGGTGCTGCCCCCACCCTGCTCTTCCCATAGAACCATCCTTTAACTCTCCAGACTATAAGACCAGACTGTGTACTCAGGATTTACTGGGGCAGGAACACAAAGCTTGTATCCAGATGCGAGGCGAAGACCCTCCACACACGTGTTGCAGGATTCACCTTACTTGCCCTCAGAAGAAGTGCCCTGTGTGTAATCAACAAGGTCCCAACTTCTCAGTCTCAGAGACAGCTTCTTTCTCATATCCAGTCTCAACCTTGCCTCCAAGAAAAATAAAATGGGTCGATGTGCCATTTCACCTACAGGGAAGACTATTTTTTCCACTGCTGTGTCATGAAGTTTCACCCCACACTGGCTTCAGTGCCTCCTTTTAGAGCAGGATTTTGAATCTTTATGTAACCCAAAGGTAAATTAGTCTGTTTTTCTCAAAGCAAAGGAGCAACTTGCTCACAAAGGTGGATTCAGACTTGCCCAGTAGAGAAGCAGGAACATCACAAATTGTTCTTTCAGCTTCATTCCACTTCCATCCCCTCAAGTCACACTTCCATCAGGTTTTAGGTTCCATTGTTTCTAAAAATTAAGTCCAGTAATGGCTAAAATTCTCCCTTGTATATGTAATTCAATTTTCTGGTAGTGACTCTTTACACATATCTTCTTTGGGAGGCACATTCTTCTGAGATTCACGAGTGAAAGCAGCCAAGAGACACAGAACTACAGGAACATCTGTCCTCCAAACGTCACCAGGTGAAGCATTTCTGACTCACCAGATTCCTCACACCAGCCTTCACATCCTTGTTCCTGAGGCTGTAGATGATGGGGTTGAGCATGGAGGTCACCACCCCATAGAAAAGGGAGGTGAGCTTGTCTGCAAAGTCCTGTTTGTCTGCCCCCAGAGGGTCCTTGGATTTGGGCTTCCCATACATAAAGAGGATGGTCCCATAGAAGATGACAACAACTGTGAGGTGGGCAAAGCAGGTAGAGAAGGCCTTTTTCCTCCCCTCAGCTGAAGGGATCCTCAGGATGGTGGTGAGGATGAAGATGTAGGAGACAAAGATGAGCAGAACTGGGACCCCCAGGAAGATCACATTAGTCACCCCCATACTGATCACATTGATGGAGATGTCAGCACAGGCCAACTTCAGGACAGCCAGGATCTCACAGGTGAAGTGGTTGATGACATTGGCCCCACAGAAGGGCAGCTGAATTGCCAAGGATGTGTGAACCAGAGAAGCAACACCACCAAGAGCCCAGGAGCCAGCAGCCATGAGCACATAGACAGCCTTGCTCATGACCACGGGGTACCTCAGGGGGTTGCAGATGGCCACATAGCGATCAAACGCCATCATGCCCAGGAGCACACACTCGGTGGCCCCCATGGCGAAGGAGAGGAACATCTGTATGGCACAGGCTGAGAAGGAGATGGTCTTCTGGGGGGTCAGGAAGCCATCCAGGACCAGAGGGACTGAGGAGGTTGTGTAGCAGATGTCCAGGAAGGAGAGGTTCCCCAGGAAGAAGTACATGGGCGTGTGCAGGCGGGAGTCAAGGATGGTCACCACGATGAGGACCCCGTTGCCCAGCAGGATCACCAGGTACGTGAGCAGGATGAGCACAAAGAACGTTTTCTCCAGCTTTGGGTGGGCTGAGAGGCCGAGGAGGATGAACTCTGTCACAGAGGCTGTCTGGTTGGCACTTTCCATGGTATGTATCCTCTTTCAACTAAATAAAATGCTCAGTGATCCAGACTCCACATCTGTTGTCTCACACAGATCCAGGGCATCTGGTCAGGAGTTCCAGTCTGGCTGAGTGATTAGAAAAAATTCTGAAAGCAGTCTCTATTTGTTTCCAAAAAAAAAAAGGTCAATAAAATTAGAAACTACCTTGGGGTCATAGAATATCAAATTTACAATGTTTAAAATGATGATTCTGATTATTTAATGCATTTGATCAGAAACAGTATACACAACACATTCATTTAAGTGGTTCTATGTGCTATATGGCAATTGATCTCATTAAACTTTGGCCAGAAAAATGAGTTTTAAGTTTGCTCCATATTCTTCCAATTTGTGCTGGGTACTAGGGAAATCATTAGCTGTGAATACTCATTCCGTTTCTCCAGATAATTTTCACAGAAAACATATTCCTGTTGTTCCCAAGACCTCTTTTCCTCATGAGCAATGCAAACTCCAGGGCTATCCATTCATCTGTCTGTCCAGCCACCTGTCTTGTCCATTCATTCATCCATTCATCTATCCATCCATGTTTGAACATCAATCCACTCATCAAAACGCCTGTTGATCACTCGGTATATGGGTGTGAGAATTTCTGTGAGGAACAGGGTGACCCATGGCCCATGCATAAATGGCTTCACAGCCTGTCAGAGGGGGTAAGCAGAAGGATTTTGGAGAGGCCAGGACATCCAAACGGGCACGCAGTGTATGCGTGGAACAGGGGTCATGAAGTAACCCGTAAGTGGCGTAGAATCTAGCTGGGCTTTTAAGGACAAAGGACACTGAACTTAGAGAGAGAGCTTAGGCAGGTCTCCATGGTATTGTGATCTGGAAACGCTGTTATGTTCCTAATATTTTGAACCTGATGTTCTATGAAGACAGACAGAGGACTGTCTCCAGAAATCCACAGTAGGTCACAGTTTCTGGAAATCTAGTTCTCTTAGATAACTAAAACAGTGATTTTTTTCTTCTTCTTTTTTTTTCCAGTCTTGAATATGTTTGACATATAACATGTAAATTTAAGGTATACAATGTATTACTTTGATACATTTATATATTGCAATATGATTGCTGTCATGATATTTATCACATCACATAATTATAGTACAGTATTGCTGTCTATATTCATTATACCATGCATTAATCACTGGCTTATTTACTACTTGTTGCAAGTTTGTGGGCTTCCCAGGTGGCCCTAGTGGTGAAGAACCACTTCCTGCCATACAGGAGATATAAGAAATGTGGGTTCGATCTCTGAGTCAGGAAGATCCCTTGGAGGAGGGCACGGCAATCCACTCCAGTATTCTTGCCTAGAGAATCCCATGGACAGAGGAGCCTCACAGGCTACTTACTGTCCATGGGGTCACAAAGAGTCAGACATGACTGAAGGGATTTAGCACGGCACACATCACATCAAGTATAAAGCAGAGCTGTGCTTGTTGAAATGGGCCAGGAGGGCTCAGAAAGTCTGAGCTGTTCAGCCCATGAGGCCCGCCCCCGAGGCCAGGCCATTGATGAGCAGCTCGCAGAAACTGTTTTCATTGTAGGCAACACAGATGGCACCTCTGGAGCCTAACAGCAGGGCAGCTCCAGCCATTTCTGTGGCTATCGTGTGAATGGTGCTCCCTGGAGTTGTACAGAGGAGGCTCTGAAGCTGTGGGACCGTCTCGCCCTAGGGGTTTCTCTGAAGTCAGAGGAATCCATGAAATGAGACAAAAGTTTCAGAGGCTTCTTGCCATCTAGGTTTTTCTATCCAGGGGGTTTTGAATGGCCCTTGGTCTTTGTGATATCACTGAAATTGTTTCTTTTTTTTTTCCATTTATTTTTATTAGTTGGAGGCTAATTACTTTACAACATTGCAGTGTGAAATTGTTTCGTTTCCTCCTTTCCCAAGCCCCAGCCCCTTCGAAAAATCAAGTCAGAAGCTGGAAATACCCCTGCGCTGATAAAAGGTTGAGGATTACTTTTATAAGAACCCTCGCTTACCTTTTTTAGGAACCTACTGAGAAAGGGTCCCTATGGCCCAGGAACAGTATATGGGCCAGAAATATCACTAGTTTGAAAGGTCCAGGCTGAGATGTCCAGCTCTGATGAGAAGAAGGGGTGAAAGCCAGTTCCTCACACTCTGCCTTACTTCTGTGTTTTAGGCAAACTTCCTAAAGGAACAACCAGTCCATGTAGAAGGCAATTTGAAATCAGAACCACAGTTGGGACTATTGTGTTCCCCAAAGTGATTAAAAGTTTGGAAATGGAAGCATACAAAGTCAGAGAACTTTTTATACTTTTGGGACAATGTCCCCAAGATCCAATTATGCTGAAAGCGCTCCAGGAAAAGCTTCTTTTTCTCATTCCTTTGTTCCTATTGGAACTTTCCACCCTGAGGTCACTGAAGGGCATCAGGGGAAGCATCGCCATGTGCTGCCTGAATCTGTACAAACTTCAAAATGTTTTAACTTCTTGAAATCAGCAGCTAGGGAGATAAGAATTATTTAGGAATACTCTGTGTTCACAGCATTGTGGAATCAGCCTCTATGGACACACTGCTTCTAAACCAAGTGCTCAAAGTCATGATTTGGATGCTTGGGGGAACTTCCACCCAGAGCCATGGGGAAACTTCAAGGAGGAGATATTTTCTGGCCAGGGACAGTAAGGGAGAATTTACACATGAAGAGACAGGCAAAGGATGGGGGAAAGGGATTTACCGTCTTGGGGATGGAGGTTGGCATGGGTTTTGGGCTTGAGTATTTCTTACACAGCCTCAGTATGTCATATGTTTGAAAAACATCATGGGACAGGAAGTATAGTGGAATCTAGGATGTGATAGCAATCTTTAATATGACCCCAGTAATTCTTTCCTACTGGATTTCATGGCCTTATACAACCCTCTCCACTTTAGTAACTGCTTATAACCTAAAGAATGAGTCACGCACAACTGAGCAACTGAACATCAACGGCAGAACATGGTTACTTCTTCTTTTACGAATTAGCCCTTCAAAGATAGGAAGACTATGAGTCATTACAGATGTGCTCAGTTACACTGAAGGTGTGAGCCTGAACTAAGCACAACCATCTGCAATAACTGAACGAATAATAGAAATTAAACAGTAACTCAACAAATACATAATAAAATCATGACCAAAAGCTATCCTGGCAAATCAGACTCTGCCATCAGTCCAAGTAGCCCAGAGAATCTCAGGCCCTCAGATGACCTACTTATAAGAGGAGCTTTTCACTGTTATTTAAGGGAAAGAAATAGTAACAAATACAAGAACAAGCACCCGACAGGATACACCTTCCTTCTACAGTGAAGCTGCTAGAAAGTATACTAGACAAATTTGTGGCTTGCCAATAGCAGTCACTATAAAAAGTCTGTATATTTAGACAGACAGATACTTAGTAGTCCACTTTTTTGGGTAAAATCTACTCGCAGTGAAATGCATAAATCTTAAGTTCATTGATAACCCAATAAAATCAATCCATAGAATCAAAGAATGGAATGTAGTTGCCAGTGACCAGGAGGAGGGGCAAATCTGAGTTACTTAAATGGGTATACTTTATGTGAGTTACTTTAAATGGGTATAAAGTTCTAGTTAAGCAAGATGATTAAACTCTAGAGATCCATGTACAGCATTGTACCTATAGTCAACAGTAGTGTAATACACACTTAAAATTTTGCTAAAAGAGTATATATCATGTTGTACTCTTAACCATAATAAAATAAATCTTAAGTATATCATCCAATGAGTTTTGACATGTTCACACCCATGTAACCAAATCTTATCATTACAGAATGTTTACAGCACAACCAAGAGTTTTCTCATGACCCTTACCAGTCAGTTCTCATTATTATTATTATTAGCAGTCTCCTAATATTTTTCACTCTTTTTTTAAAGTATTATCTTTTCAGAAACATCAAATAAATGGAATCATGTGCAAGTCTTTATATTCAGAATAAGGTTCTTAAAATCTGTCATGTTTTTACATGGTTTTTTAGCTTGTCCCTTTCTATTATTGAATAGTATTTCAGTAAATGAACATCTTTGTTTATCCATCTCCTTCTTGATGGACATCTGAACTGTTTCTAGTTTTGGCTGTTATGAATAAAGCCATTATTAACACTCTCATGCAAGTCCTTTTGTAGATGTATATTTCAACTTTTATTGGTTAAATATCTGAGAATGAGATTCTGGATCATAGCACAGGTTTACACTTAGTTTTCTAAGAAATGGATAGGTCTTTTGCCAAAGCATTTGTACTCTTTTACATTCTTATCATAAAAGGATAGGATGTCTCATATCATATTCTTGCCAACATTTGGTGTTGTCAGTCTAATATTTTAGCCATTCTGATGATGTGTAGTGGTATCTCATTGTTGTGTTCATCTGCAACTGCTAGTGCCTTAGCTTTCAAAAGGCCATTATGTCAACTGTGTTGGGCCAGCTACTTCTGGATGGTGCATGATGTGGAAGGGTCAGTGGAACCCATAACCGTGATTCCACAGCAGCATCTACTTTGGTAAATGAGCCCCTTGGTCTAATGAGATTTTATGCAGGATTCCATGCTGTTAAATCAAACCTTCCATGAACTTTCAGAGAGCAATATTTGCTAATACCCTACAGAGAGGAAAGATGACCTATACTCAGACAAGGTGTTGATTTTAGTCAAGGTGAGTCTCTGTCCCTTGCAGAAGGAAAATGGCCTAATGCAATCAGCTCACCACCAGGTGGCTGAGGAGTCTTTTCAAATGAAGGTTGGTCTCTTGCTGCCAGTTTGAATATTCAGCTGCTGAAGTAGCTACGTCAGCCTCTGAATGCGAGGCCCTGATGGTTAGCCCATAGATAGTCTTCTGCTATCCTGACTACTCAGTTGTCCAATAACAGAGGTTGGATAACATCAACTCCCTGAATCATTTTATTGTTTGTTGAGCCTAGTAGGGAAGATGGAGGCGCTGAAGAATCTCCCGGAACATT